AGGAAGGGAGAACGAGAAGCTAAATGAGAAAAATCAGAAGAGAATTAAAAATCATGGATTGGCTTAAAAAAATATATAAAATTTAATTGATTAAATTTTATTCATTTAAAATAAAATTGCATCTTGTTAATAATTTATGTTTAACTTGCAACTGAACGTAAAATTCTGGCATACTGCCTTGATATTTCATTGAAAATTTCTTACTAACTATATAGACATAAACCCCATACATACTTTTTAAAGGTACATATATACATTTTTAAAAATTATAGATTGATATGCCGTAATAAATATATTTATTTCAAATTCACAAAATGTGCTAATTTTGCAGTTAGTACGCTTAATAAAATTATTCCATTATCAGTGAGTAGCACGTCTCAATTATTTTCATCCATTTTAGGAATTTTATTCGTAGTCTATAACCCCATGCCCTCTGGACCATAATAAATAGCGTATTATACGAACTTAATTTATTAGAAATATCATCAGGTATTTTGTCAGAAATACATAAAACTTTTGCGATATTTTTAGAAAAGTATAAAGAGATTCTTCTGTCAATTATTTTCTTAGATAATGTATAAAATATAAAATTAGGATTTAGTGGATTTTCGGTTTCCGAGCCCTGTTATTTCTGAAAATTTTATTTTCAGAAATATCAGCGTTAATTAATTTAATTAGATAACTTAATTATCTTATTAAGTTAATTTTTGTAACAATCAGTGTTGAAACATCAAAATTCAAAAAAACCCTCGATTGATTCGTTGTATATCGAGAAAAATGTAATTTAATCTTTATCAAGAAAACCATTTGCAAAAATCTGATTTCTTCGAAAAGCCTGGTGACTCGATTCGCATCAAAATAAACTCAAATAAATATTGAAATTTATATCAGTCTAAATAAATTTATCATACGAGAGTGCACAGGCAAACCGATGTCTCACCAAATGTATTTGAAAAGACGGCGTGCGAAAATTTGGGGCCGTCACAAAACTCAAATTATTGTATAAAATGCAATGAAAAGATCTTCAAATCTGAATAGCAAAATTATATTTTCCTTTTTTTTATTTTGTTACATATCTTTTATTTCCTTTCTTCTATTTGCAGTATCTCAATCAACCGGTAATTGTTTTTGTTGGTATCAAATGTGTTGCATAAAAAATAAAATTCTATTGTTTTTAACACATTTTTATTTTCGAAATATTATATAATAAACAAGTGTTGAATTAATGAGGTTGCATATAATAAGGTCAATAATTTTCATTTAAAAGTCGTTAAAAAATTGCATATGATGCTTTCCTAGAGTTGACAGGGTCAATTTTATTTGGTATTGTTATCTTTATTATTTTTACTTTTTTTAAGAATGTATTTTTTAAGTATATTTTATAGTTTTATAATCTTACATAACCTTAAAAATTTACGTATGCATGTACATAAGCACATTTTACAATCTTAATATATATTATTGTTATTTTATTTGCTATTATTACATTATTACTGGTAATAAGTAAGTTAGTATTTATAGTATAGTAATTATTATAAATATTTTCTATTTGAGTTTCGATAATACAAATCTAAAATATTACTTTTTTAAGTAAAAATAATAAGAAAATAAAAAAAAGGAAAAAAATAAAAAATTGAAAAAGAAAAAGCTCTCCCTTTTAGTATAAAGAAGAAGCACGTTCATAAACCGTATGTCTCATGTATGTCTCACATGTTATGTTATGATGGGGTCCTTCTTACTCATAGTAAATTTATAAAACAGAAAAAACACAATCACTGATTGTTACGTACTACCAGTGTTGGGATATTAGTATTTTTAAAGCTAAATTTGGTATAATGGATTTTAGTTTTGCATTGAGTTTATAAATGATTATTCCAAGTGCATTTTTGTGCAAAAAAAAGTGCTAAAGCTTTCTTTTTTATAGTACGCGTCCAATGTGTGGTATATGTATCACATCTATTTTATTCAACAATTACCACTGATTTCAATTTGGAAATTTTTTACTTCTCGTTTTGAATATTAAGACTAGAACAATGATTGCATTTATTTACATATCTATAGGTTGTAACTTGAATAAAATAAAAATTATTTGTTTTTTAACCAAATTCCTTTAACCTAGCAAGACTTTGAAATTTGTCATAAAATGGCATTGTATTTTGCCTAATCTAACACAATTTACTCGATTAAAATATCCCAACACCGCGTACTTCTATAAAAAGAAAAAAAAAAGAGAAAAAACGGATTTGACCGTGTCAACTCTGTGATACCCGTACGAATTTGCTATCCTATGTGCGAATAAATATGGCATAGCTGACGTATGGGGCAGACTACAACTTAAGTTACTATATTAATTTATGCAAAATTTCAGTACTGTGTTTTCAATATTTTCTAAGATATGACCAAACTACTATTGAAGTTGTATGGCAGCAACCAGAAAGAGCCAAGCAATTTAAAGAAATTTTGTCAATCATATTGGCCCAACTAATTTATTCCTTTGAAATTTCAATACCACAGCTTTTTTAGCTTCTGAGATATAGTCAAATAAATTTAGAAGTTGTATGGCTGCTACCAGAAGGAGCCAAGATTTCAACGACTTTTATCAAACATATTGGCCTGTGCGAAATTTCAATATCACATCTTTTATAGTTTCTAAGATATAACCAAATAACTTTTGAAGTTGTTTGGCAGTTACCAGAAAGAGCCAAGCAATTTCAACGAATTTTATCAAACATATCCGCCCTACTAATATATTCGCTTGTATGAAATTTCAATATCACAGCTTTTATAGCTTCTGAGATATAGCCAAATAACTTTTGAAGTTGTATGGCAGCTACCTGAACCAGTACCCTGATCTTATCCAATATAAATAGCTTTCTGGCATTTATTGTAATAAATCATTTGTGAAAATTTGGTGAACTTAGCTCAACTAGTTTTTGAGTTGTAGTTTTGGACGGACGGACGGACGTACAGACAAAGACTCAGAATTCGACGCTGATCAAAAACATACACTTGAGTCTATATCTAAGACCGTTATTTCTTAGCGTTACAAACGGTAAGGTAAATTTAGTATACCCTTCGAACATACGTTCGTACCGGTATAATAACAGAAAATATAAAACAAAAATACAAGAGATAAAAAACAAAGTGTGGTGATACTGAATTTTTTTGTTGTTCTTTTTTTTTTATTATTCTTACATTACAATATTTCGTTTTTACATTTAATTCCTATGTTCTATACCTATTATTAATTCAGTATGGCGTTACAGGGTGTTCCGCATAAGGTGGTGAATAATTTCAGGGATTCTTCTTTGATTAGCTTCAAGCAAAAGATTGTATGAAGGGTGGGGGATAAAAAACCAAGAAGAAAAATGTTCGAGAAATTTTGAGTTTTCAAAAAAAAATATTAAGAAAAACAAAGTATGTACTTACTTTGACAAACTATGTTTCGAAAATCAGAATTATATTACTTATATTGATGCAAAAATATTTTGGCGATACTTGTATTGAAATCATAGCTTTTATTAATTAAAATTACTTAATAACAATTGTTGAAAATTTACTTAATAACATCATAAAAAACGTAGTACTAAAACTAATTCAATAATTTTTGATATAATTATTAGAAAAAATCATTTCTAAATTAATATCAATACAGGTATCCCTAAAATATTTATGCATCAATAAAATATAATTCTGATTTTCTCAAAAGGAAGTTTTTTTTGCTTTACTTTAATACGATTATCTTATTTTTGAAAGATCAGGTTATGCAAGAATAAATGTAAAATTGGAATTAATGTAATTTAAATACACATGTTCACCTACATAAATATATATATACATACTCGTATAATATTACGTACACTATTATTATGTATTTATCATAATATTACGTATTTTCTTCGCTAAAGGTTTAACTCAATTCGCAAATGGTTTAATTAAATTCGCAAAAAGTTTAATTTAATTCGCAAAAGAGTCAATTTAATTTTTAGATTAATATAAAAGGTTTAATTTAATTTTTAGATTTAGCTGTAAATAAAATCTTACGTTTTGTATAATTATTTGATTAAATTTGATTAAATAATGTGATTCTGAAATGTTCTGCAAGCCTATATATTCAAACTATAATGTAATAAACTACAATAGCAATATTTCCCGTCTTCACAATACCATAATGTTTGCTCCTTTGATTACGTCATCCATCTATTCTGCAGTTGTATGAAGAAATTTCCTTAGTTATTCTTATAGAATTAATAATAGAGATAAACTACTACACGTTGTATTGGTAATTAGTAATATCATTAGTGTAATATTAGATAATCATGTATATTACAGTATAAAGCAATGTGAAAAACAATTTGCCGCTAATTTCTTCATACCTCTGTAGCTTAGTAGGTAGAGCACCTGCCTAGAAAGCGGTATGTTGGAATCCATATATTACAAGTTTCACACAATCTTTTTGAACTAGAATTAAATTATATGGAGAGAATTTGTGAGCTAATATAGTATGGGAAATAAAAAAAAAAGAAATATTTAAATTGTAAACTATAATTGCATCGAAAATGAGAGCGTAAAATGAATGTCAAATATTTACATACTTTTAGTGGCCTACTAAATTTTATACTTTATGTGTAATAAAAGGGAAAATATTTGGGTCACACTTGTTACATAGTTTATTATCTATATTGTATACATGTATCTGTTAATAATATAACATATAAATTGTACGCATGTAGCTTCATACACATATGCATATGTATAAGAATAATGTAATAATAAAAGTACATTTAATAAACCATACCAAAAAATAATTGTTATTATGTATGAATTTTGTTTTTTAAATATTATAAAATATTTATTGGGGAATTAGAAGTTTTCATTTGTATTTTTCTTATATATTTTTTTTTCCCTAAATTTTAAAGTTTCTTTTTTTCTTTTCCATATGTGTGTATGCATGTATAAAAATTCAAACACAAAAATATATTATGAAAAAATACAAATAGAAAATAAAACTACAATAATGGACAATTAATAAAAAAACAACAATAAAATATAATATAACAGAAAGGAAAATTTCTAAAAACAAATTTCAAAATTATTATGTTATATTACAAAAGAGAGAACATAAAAAAATAAAAATAAAATGAAATAACAGAAAAAACAAAAACAGAAAAGAAACAAAAAAATATAACAGAAAAAAAATACAAATATAGAAAAGGCATAGGCAGGCAAAAAGAATAACAATAAAAATTAAAAGCAGCAAAAAAAAAGTGAAAAAAAAGAGCTTTCACCGCTATTCAGAAGAAAAGTTCTCATTAAAAATTCAAATTATTTCAAACCGTCGTCTGTAACGGACGTATTTCTTTTTAATCTTCATTGTTTATTCTACAACAGATCGCGTTTCGCAAAAAATACGAAAGTAAAAAAGTTATTAAAAAAACAACAACTAGAATAATATAATAAAAAAAAATAAATTAAATAATAATATTACAAAAAGAATATTTTAATTCTACATTAGTTGTATAGAAATCTGCATTTAAAAGAAAAAACAAAAGTGTGTTAAAATAAAATTATTAAGAATATTTAGGAAGAGTGCTTATTTTATATGTATATACACCTTTTTTTATTTTTGTCTTGGGATAAATTAGAAAACGAATAAAATATTAACTAACAGTAAATTTCTGGAATAAAAAAAAATAACAGGGAAATTCTCTAAAACGAAAAAAAAATAATTTTTAAAAATTGTCCTAGAAAAAGAAAAAGCACATAATTATTCTAAAAATTCATGCATACACATATATGTGATACAGTATATTATATGAATGGTTTAATTAATTAAAAACATTTAAATAAATAAATTATAATTACATAAATAAAAAAAATTATTAAATAATGAAAATGTGATTAGAATTTAATATTTGAGTGAATAACGATTAAAAAATCTTATTCAGACAAAAGTAATTTGATAGAAAAATAAAATAAATATTCTGTTCTTTATTCTTTTTTGTTTTTAAAAAATGGTAACTTCATGTATTATGGATACTACAAATGTTAACATTAAGGATACTAAATCAAATACATTTGCAAATATTAATAATAATTCTAGAATAATACCAAATATTCTTACTACTACATCTACATCATCAACGATTTATAATAATAGTGATAATAATTGTAATAGTAATAATTTAAATTCATACAAATTATTCCCACAAAATTTTCATAATAAAAAAAATAATAATACTCTTAATAATTATTTTAAAACAAAAACTAATATTGATGGTAATTATATATATAATTATATTATAAAATTAAAAAAAATTAAATTAATTTAATAAATTATGATTATAAATATAAAAGAATTAATTAGCATTTATCATCTTATTTTTTAATATTTCATTTAAATAAAAATTTTAGTAAACTCAAAAAAAACAACTTTTTTTTATTTGTATTTATTGAATTCAATTCAATATACATGCAATATACACACATAAAAACATTATCGCATTATGCTCACAAAACTCATTTTAATCAAAACATAATAAAATATATAACATGTGTTATTATATAGGTACTTACGTACCTATATAATATACGTACGTACGTACTTTTTTCATAAAAATCGGTACGTACTATTTTCATAAAATTTTTATTTTAAATATGATTTGTGGATAACATAAAAAACATAAAAACATTTAATTTTTAGACCGAAATTAAGTGTTAAAGTTATTTTATTACACAACATTAAGTGTTAAAGTTATTTTATTACAATAATTCAGGAGAAATTTATTCTTTTTTTTGTTTTTTTTTCTACATCTAATTTCAATTGTAAATTTTTATGAAATTTTGTTTTTAGATAAAATTTTTAGTACTTATATGCATTTAAAAATTTAAGAAGGACATCGTATTGTCTCTCTCTCTTTATCTTTTTTGCATTATCTCCCATAATCAGTGCTGTCTTTAACCCAAATGTCTTCATTTTTAATTACTTTTCCAAAAAAATTTTGAAAAAAAGTTATTATTACTTTCACTTTGTTCGTCCGTGCGTTCGTGCTCTTGTCTGTCCGTTCGTCCATTGACAGGTTTACAAAACTTCTACATTCTTGAAGATAGAAAGCTGAAATTTTTTATGTACATAGATCTTTACGAGTACTAGAAACTTACTTTCGTAGAAGAAAGTAAGTTTCGTGTTTTTTTTTCTACATCTAATTTCAATTGTAAATTTTTATGAAATTTTGTTTTTAGATAAAATTTTTAGTACTTATATGCATTTAAAAATTTAAGAAGGACATCGTATTGTCTCTCTCTCTTTATCTTTTTTACATTATCTCCCATAATCAGTGCTGTCTTTAACCCAAATGTCTTCATTTTTAATTACTTTTCCAAAAAAATTTTGAAAAAAAGTTATTATTACTTTCACTTTGTTCGTCCGTGCGTTCGTGCGCTTGTCTGTCCGTTCGTCCATTGACAAAACTTCTACATCCTTGAAGATAGAAAGCTGAAATTTTATATGTACGTAGATCTTTACTAGAAACTTACTGTCGTAGAAGAAAATTTTTACATATGTCTCCCCTTCAAAGTTGAAGCCTCTCAAAGTCTCAAAAATGCAATTTTTTAACTATTTATTGCAATGAAACCATAAGCATTTTTCAAATGTTGCAAACACCAAAAAGCCACGGGTTTGAGTATTAAGTTGACTAGCACAAAAAGCACAAAAAGTGCGTACAGTAAGCGTTTATACCTATAATCTCATTTGTATACAATAATCTACCTTATTGTATACAAATGCGATCGGTAAAAAACAAAGTTATAATTGCTCGTTTTTATTCTCTATCTATAATTTTTATATATATTATGGAAGATAAATATGCAGAACCTGGAATGATAATGAATAAAAAATAATTTGTGTAATATTAGCTGTAAACAAGTAAAAACGTTTCAGTCGATCTGAACCGGCTGAATTATACCCAGCACCTTGAAAAATTCGTTTTTGAAATATTTAGAAATAGTTTTTGCAGTATTAAATAAAACTTCAGGGATTACGCCTAATTGTACACGTAACTGCCAAGTTACATGAATCTAGCTTTATTATTTTTCCGAATATATAAAATTGGTTTTTTAAGTTGTATTACAGCTACCCAATCCAGTGCAGCCATTCCATCAAAATTCTTAGAATATATTTAAAATGTAATTGGGCACACATATACAATATTTCATAATTATACCTTTATTTGTTTTTGAAATATTTAAAATAATCTCTTTGAGTTGTATAGCAGCTAGTAGAATCCGTTACCCGAGTGGGTCTAGTTACAATAGGGCCTTCGTTTTCGAGTTTTCGTGTGATCCGACGGACGACACGTCTAAATCAACGCAAAATTTCACACTGAACAAGAATATATTATATAAGGTTATACAGAGTGGTTCAGAAAGGTATACAACAATATATACCATTGGTAAGAGGGTCGAAAATGGGTAACATTTTTGTTCGGAACAGGGATTTTAAGAAAATTCGGCGAAATTTTACATATTTATGTTTTTTTGCCTATTACTTTCTTTCTAAAAAAGATAAGAGTTCCAAACAAATTGTTTAAAAAAGCTTTAAGAAGGCTTTAAATAAAGGACAGCGGGTTATTTGGTTTTACATGTTTTTTCGGAAATACAAAAATTTGAACTTTAGGAAAATTCCAATTTTTTTACTTTTTTGTCCCGAAAATTTCTCATGAATTTTTTTGAAACTTTCAAAATTCTTTTTACATGATTTTGTCCAGCTACTGTAGTTTTTATTTAAGCCAATTAACATTAAAATATCTTTTATGATATTTTATAGCAAAAAAAATCATTTCTTTGTCCAGTTTTTAAAAGCCTTAAGGAAATGTGTAAACTCAAAAAATTATAACTATTTTTCATTTTTATTGATTTTAAGTAGCATAAATCTTAGCTATTATTAATTTGTTATCACAATAGTAATCCTAAAAAGCAGTTAACATTTTTAGGTTAACATTTTTAACAAATTTTAAAAACAACCTTCGTATCAAAGTTTATAAAAAATTATGACTATTTTTCATTTTTATTGATTTTAAGTAGCATAAATCTTAACTATTATTAATTTGTTATCACAATAGTCATCCTAAAAAGCAGTTAACATTTTTAGGTTAACATTTTCAACAAATTTTAAAAACAACCTTCGTATCAAAGTTTATATACCCTTCACGAAGGTGCAGGATATAAAGTATAGTGAAAAAAAAATGTCTTAAGTCGCAATAGAGACGTTTTGTTTTAAAACCGTGCAGAATTAATTTATGATCAAGATCGGTCGAATTCCTCGAGTATATAGAGTTCATAGAAGATTTTTTTTGAGTTTATATTATATTCTTTGAAATATTTGTATAACTTAAGATAAGAACATATATAATTTAATATATGTAAGTACATATACACTTGAAAACATTTAAACTAAAACTATAACAAAACTATATACATATATACTGTTCAAAAACAATATATATATGCATTCTTATTTTTCTATATACAAAAAATATACGACAATAGAACGTGACTTTATTTAAATCTCAATATAATTTTAATTACATTTTTATGTACATATATATAAATGTACATATATATGCATGTATAATAATATAAAATTTTCAATGATTATCATTATCATCATCATCCTCATCATTTTTATTTAACAAAAATGTTACTGAACTGTTGTTTTCTTATACTTTTACAAAAAAAGTTAAACAAGCGAACAGAAAAAAAGAGAAAAAGAACATAGTATTACGAAATGATTGTTTTTTCTTCTTGTTCTTTACAAATAGTATTACTTGCATTATGCACGTGTTCTTTACTGTTGTATCAATAAATTTTTTATTAAATGCACATGTTTTCTTTAGTTGTTATGCATATACAATTATTATGTGTCACCTGAAAGCTTATTTATTGTACATAATCTAAAATACATGTGTAACTATTACATTGAAAAAAAATCTATATATATGTACATATATATATACATCCGAAATTATTATAAAAATTGTAACTATAATAGTTAATCGGTAGATACTTGGGTATTTAGACATTTTATAACATTTTTACTAATATGTCATTACATGTAATGATATCAAATTGTACATAAAAATAAAATTCGAAATACATATGTACATATATGATTGCGCATCTATTATCATTCTACATACATTTTATATGAACGGGATACATAAATTTTTATAATTGTGTTTTTATATTTGAATTACGAAAAGTAATTAATAGAAATTTAAGTGGGAAATTCGACACGTGAGCTCAGCTTAAGAATAATTTGAGATTGCAAAAGAATTTTAGGGTAAAAAAAGCAAAAATTAGTTTTTGAATTAGATTACTTTTCTTGGCTTTTTTTACATTAATTTTGTTGTTGTTGTTTTTGCTGCTGTTGTGTTGTTGTTCTTTATTTATTTTAGTTATTGTTTTTATTTAGTATTAGTACTATTATATATATATATGTTTTGTTTTTGCTGCTGTTGTTGTTGCTTTTGCTGCTGTTAATGTTGTTGTTGTTTATTTATTTTGATTATTGTTTTTATTAAGTATAAATACTATTATATATATGTTTCTTTTTTAATTTAACAAATTAAATCACTTTTTTTAAAACTTTTTATTAAACTTAATACATATTTTGTCATAAACACTTATTTATCTAAAATTTTATTTTGGTACTAAGTCGGTTCTTTTTTCAATTATGTACTTAATTAAGGTCCTCCTAAACTTTTTTATATAATTGTTACTTTCTAAAGTAAAGAGCAGATTATTTAACAATTTAAGATCGTTATGCAGTAACATATTTTGTGTTTTAGTTTTGTTAGACAAATTTAATCCCAAATAAAAATATTTCTTAAACAGTAATTGTGTACATTTTCGACATAAATTTATCTGTTTGTTAAATATTTTGGTAGCATTTTATGTTTTATTTTAAAAATAATTTATATTTACATGATTACTAATACTTATTAATTAAAACAACTGCATGTTGTATTAGTAAGTCAGTATATTAGTGTAATAGGCACAATACCTATTTATACATGTTCTTAAGATTGTGTGTTTCAAATGAAAAATTGCACGTAGCATCTGAATGTAAACAATACTTATTAATTATGTGGATTACAGTATAAAGCAATGTGAAGAACAATTCGTCGGCAATTTCTCCATACATCTGTAGCTCAGTTGGTAGAACGACCTAGAAAGTGGTAGAATACTGGTTCGGGTCCTGTTCGAGAAGAAAAATTTTTTAATTTTTCTGTCTTTACTCATTCCTTTGATTACGTCACCCATCTGCTCTGCAGTTGTATGAAAAAATTTCCATCGAGTTGATATTTTAAGAACTTTAATTCTTTATCTTCATTTCTATAATTTTCATTCTCTTTAACAATTGTGACTATTGTTTCATAATCGCTTATATTTAAATTATTATCTACTTTAGCCTTGATATTATATTTGTAATTTACTACATAACATAGTTTGTGAGTGACTTAGAGTTTTTTACTTTTCTAGTATGTTCATTTATAACTTGCTATTGTTGTTGCTGTAATTATTGTTGAATTAAAATATAAAATAGATGAAATTGATGATCGAAAAATGACTTAAACACATGAAAAAAGATATTTATGTCAACACAATTGTTTAATTTGATTAGATAAATAATGAAAAAATTAGAAATATGCGTCTTTGCCTAAAATTTTCATTTTTTTAACATAATAATTTTAAAAAAAATGTTATAAAAAAATATATGGTTATATGCACCTCCTTTTTATAATAATTTTTATTTTTTATCTATTGCAGATGTTTTAAGAGAAAAAATAATGGTGGCGGAGTTTGTCGCCCGCCAACATCATTCTAGTTCCCCTGTTAACGGAGAAACACCAGCTCAAAATTATTCTAATACACCGTTATCATTTCATAACAGTTTGAAAGGAACACCATTTATTAATAGTGGTAATAGTAATACTTCATCATCATCACCAACACACAATACAAATAACAATAAAAGTAATAGTAATAATAATTTAAATAACAGTGACTCAGGAATAATATCAAATATGCGTATGACACATTCACCAGCGTTATCAATTAATGGTAACTCAAATGGATCAAATTCAGGTAAATTTTTTAGAAAGATATAAAAATTTTACAAATAAAAAGAGGGTTTTTTTGTTAATGTAAATGGAATTTAGAGCTACGTAATTATGTTAGAGTAAGGTTTCCTCACATAGAGTACATTTGATATTTTTAGGATGTGGAATGAATTACTAGAGATGATCCCAGCACACCTTCTTTCAAACGTTGATCCATGACGGGAGGAAGGTTGTGCGGTTTTATATCCGCGTTGGGTGGGAGAGGGTGCCTTGCGGAGTCTCGCACTGATTCGTGTTAAAAGGATGTTTGGTCTTGAAAGATTTCATTAGCAAATGCCTTAAATTACATCGGTACAGTTACCCCAATTCACAAAACTACAAACTAGGATATGAAAATGGGAGGGAAAAGATGGTAAAAGAGTTTGTCGGAAATTCTTTTAAGAGTATTAGAAATTACATTGGAATCCTCGGAAGAGGATCGGTACAGTCACTCCAATTGACAAAACTACAAACAAGGATATAAAAATGGGAGGGAAAAGAAAGTAAAAGGGTTTGTCGAAAGTTCTCTTAAGGGTATTAGAAATGAGGTTGGAATTACATAATCTATTTGCAAATAATTGATCATATCTTATGCATATTTAATTAATTTTATTTTTTTTTTTAATTTCTAATTTTTGTTGTAAAATTAAGGACATGGATTATTATTACCGAGATCACCTATGTCTCCTATGTCACCACAACATGATAGCTATTCACAAAGTAATTATGAAATGAATCAATTAAAACGTAAAGATTTATTTACGCAACGTAAACAACGGGAATTTATACCAGATAATAAAAAAGATGAGAGCTATTGGGATAGAAGACGTCGTAATAATGAAGCAGCAAAACGTTCACGTGAAAAAAGACGTTTTAATGATATGGTATTAGAACAACGTGTTGTTGAGTTAACAAAAGAGAATCATGTTCTTAAAGCTCAATTGGATGCCATTAGAGATAAATTTAATATATGTGGTGAAAAATTAGTTAGCGTTGACCAAATATTAGCAACATTACCAACAAGTGAACAAGTTTTAAGTATTACAAAACGTGCTAAAATATCAAATACAGTACCACCAACAATTATTTATCCATTATCATCAAGTCCAATTTTAACATCTGTTATACAACCATCATTACAAACAAATTCTTTAATAGATAGTAATAGTAATAATAATAATAATAATAATAATAATAATAATAATAATAATAATAATAATAATAATAATAATAATAATAATAATAACAATAATAATAATAATAATAACAATAATAATAATATTAATAATAATAATAATAATAATAATAATAGTGGAAGAGATAGTAACATTCCAATTGGTAGCTCGATAACAGCAACAACATCATCTTTATTAAATCATACTACAAATATATTATCTTCCTCATCTTCATCGTCATCCTCTTCTTCTTCATCATCATCTTTATCAACAGCTTTACAAAATCAACCAACATCATCTCAACTAAATTCACCTATTGGTTATATATCATCACGTTCTTATTCAACAAGTACAACAATAAATCAAAAGAATTTAAATAATAGTAATTCAACTTCACCTGGACTACAGCAACAACAACATTCAAATCAACCACATCCACTGCAACAACATCAAAGTATACTATCTTGTGACAGTACTTCTTCAACAAGTTATTCTCATCATCATAATAATAATAAAAATAAAGTAATATATCATCAGCAACAGCAATTACAATCAAATCATCATCATTTTCATCATACTAATTGTAATCATCATGATGATAATATCTGTCATCATATATATAATAATAATAGTAACAACAACAATAATAATGGAAATCAAAATAATTCTAATTCATCATCGAATATTAGTGGACGTTTGGAACGTAATAGTTTTCATCACCGTCCAATATTTGATCAAAGAAATGAAAATTCAAATAATAACAGCATTAACAGCAGTAGTAATAATGGCAATTTATCTTCTGCTCCAACACCATCATCCACATCGCCATATGATCATCATTCTATATTTTCACATACAAATCATCATCATTTGTCTGGACATTTACCATTCTCTGGTAATAATACAACAAATTCTGGTACTATAATTAATCCAAATAATATTTTATTATCAAATGATCAAATTGATATACCAACTGGATCAACATCATCAATATTAAATCGTGCGATGTCATCGCCGAAATTAATAATTAAAAATAATTTAAATAATGGTACTTTAATTAGTTGTAATAATAACAGCTCTGCAACACCTTCATTATCTTCGCCATCATCATCATCGTCAACTGCATCAACAAGAGAAATAAGAAATAATGGTATTAACAATAATAATGGAAATATAACATTAGGAAATAATAATAATCCGCCACCTTATATTGAACAATATGGTCTTGATGAATTAGCAACAACAACACCACATTTATCTTCACACCACAATAATAATAATAATCAAAATCATCACCATCATTATCATATTCAACATCATCACGATATACATGATCGAGAATACAATGATATAATGAAACATACAATTAATTTATCATCAAAAATAATAACACCCGGTACAACATCATCATCAACAGCAGCAGGTACAACAAATATTGATTGTAATAGCCCAACATCATTAATTATCGGTTCGTCATCATCATTATCATCATCACCGTCATCAGTATCTGGTTCATCATCATCACCAACATCAGCATCAGCTGTTGCAGCTGCAGCAGTTGCATCAGCAGCAGCTGCTGTTGTTGCTGCTGCATCAATACATGGTGTTGTATTAAATGGTAATAATGTATTGAATTTATCACGTCGTAATGTTAATAACAATGACATGGGTAATAACAATAACAGTTCTAACATGAATGAAATAAATAATAATACAAATATTTGTATCAATAACCGTGGTAATAATAATAATAATAATAGTAATAATAATAATAATAATAACAATAATAATAATAATAAAAATAATAATAATACTAATAATAATAATAATAATAATAATAATAGTAATAATAGTAATAATAATAATAGTAATAATAATAATAATAATAATAATAATAATAATAATAATAATAATAATAATAATAATAATAATAATAATAATAATAATAATAATAACGGTGGTTCAACATCACCATGTGATTATTTATCACATTGTAATGTATCATCGAATACATCAAATGATGACGATAATGAAACATGTGGTGACAATTTAGTAACAGCTGTTGATTTACATAATAGTTTGCCACTTAAATTACGTCATAAATCTCATTTGGGTGATAAGGATGCAGCAACAGCACTATTAGCATTACAGCATATTAAACAAGAATATTTACCATCATCACAATCAAGTCCACCATGGGATAATGAAGGTTCAAGTGATGAAAGAGATTCTGGTATATCAATTGGTACAACTGAATGGACATTACATCATCAACGCAAAAATCTAAATAGTAGTAATAACAACAACAATAATGTGAATAATAATAATAGTAATGGACATATAAAAAAATCTTCTGTGATAAGTGATAAGGAAGAAAATATACATTTGAAATCTCAATTAGCAAGATTAGAATCAGAAGTGGCTAATATTAAAAGTATGATGATACTTGGTACAACGAATGTTGTTAATACAAATTCACAGTAAGCACAATAAATTAAAAAAAAAATATAAAAGTATTTAAAAAAAATTTTTTTTAAATTTTACTAAATTTGAATAAATTTTACTTACACATTATTATTAATTTTATTATTAATCTATTTATACGTATATATAACTATTTTGTTGTACCTAAAACTAACATATTATAATTTTTATTATGTACTTTGATTACAATCATTATAAATACTTTTACCATAATATTTTATATAACAAAAAAAAAAATTTAAATTTTCAAAGGTATACATTTTTTTTATTTCACTTAATATAATTATATATATATGTATATATATATACATACACACACATACACACACGTATATATATATATATATATATATATATATATGTGTGTAAACATTATATATATATATATATATATATATATATATATATATATATATATACTTTTAATAACTCGGTTGCAGAAAAATTTTAAAGTAGAATTTTCTTAAATAAATATATATATATAGAAACATTATATATATATATATTTAGACTTTTAATAACTCGGTTGCCGAAAAATTTTAAAGTAGAATTTTCTTAAATAATTTTTTAGGAAAATTATATATACAACCCAGATATATCAATGAAGTTTTTGTCCAATGGCCTTATAAGGTTGGAAAGCTACTATATATCTCTAAAAGCTTATTTTAAATATTCGTAAAAATAATAATGTCAGATTAATGACACTCGACAGTCACATGCACAATTGTAGGTCAGACGTATCACTAAGGTCTTAATAAAATTGCATGACAGGTTCGGATAGATCGCACACAACCTAGCTGCATGAAATTTTTGCAGTCGTGTGCCAAACTTTATCCCAGTTATATCGTTGATGTTTCTTTGGAATAAATTGACTAGTTGTCATACAATTCCAGAAACTAATTTTAAATTTTCAGGAAAATAATAAAGCTAGATTCATGGTAACTGCCAATCATATGTTCAGTTATAGGTCATACGTATTCTTGAAATTTTTGTGGTATGACTTAATAGGTTCGGGTAGCTCTGCAACAATCTTAAAAGCTAAGTTCCTTAAAGCTTTTATGGAGTGGCTTGACAGGTTCAAGTAGTTTCTACACCACCTTAAAAGGTAATATTAAATATTTGAAAGTAGAATAAAGAATAGGGTAGCTCTCCAAAAAAATAGCATAATAAGAAAAATAAGCATAGAAAGAAAAATAAGAATAGAGTAGCTCTCCAACAATCTTAAAAGCTAAGTTCCTTAAAGCTTTTATGGAGTGGCTTGACAGGTTCAAGTAGTTTCTACACCACCTTAAAAGGTAATATTAAATATTTGAAAGTAGAATAAAGTTAGCTACATAAAATTTGGCGGTTATGCGTCCAATTATAGCCCATATATCCTTAGTTTTTATATAATTTCGCGTAGCGCCCTTACAACCCAAAAACCTTATTTTTATGACGTATTCAGAAAAATTGTAAAATAAGAGACATCGCCATCTTGTGTACAATAATAATTAATATAATATTATATATATATATATATATATATATATATGTATACATGTTTATATATATATATATATAAACATTATACATATATATATTTAGACTTTTAATAGCTCGGTTGCAGAAAAATTTTAAAGTAGAATTTTCTTAAATAATTTTTTAGGAAAATTATATATACAACCCAGATATATCAATGAAGTTTTTGGCCAATGGCCTTATAAGGCTGGAAAGCTACTATATATCTCTAAAAGCTTATTTTAAATATTCGTAAAAATAATAATGTCAGATTAATGACACTTGACAGTCACATGCACAATTGTAGGTCAGACGTATCACTAAGGTCTTAATAAAATTGCATGACAGGTTCAGATTGATCGCACACAACCTAGCTGCATGAAATTTTTGCAGTCGTGTGCCAAACTTTATCCCAGTTATATCGTTGATGTTTCTTTGGAATAAATTGACTAGTTGTCATACAATTCCAGAAACTAATTTTAAATTTTCAGGAAAATAATAAAGCTAGATTCATGGGAACTGCCAATCATATGTTCAGTTATAGGTCACACGTATTCTTGAAATTTTTGTGGTATAACTTAATAGGTTCGGTTAGCTCTGCAACAATCTTAAAAGCTAAGTTCCTTAAAGCTTTTATGGAGTGGCTTGACAGGTTCAAGTAGTTTCTACACCACCTTAAAAGGTAATATTAAATATTTGAAAGTAGAATAAAGAATAGGGTAGCTCTCCAAAAAAAAAGAATAATAAGAAAAATAAGCATAGAAAGAAAAATAAGAATAGGGTAGCTCTCATACAATCTTAAAAGCTAAGTTCCTTAAAGCTTTTATGGAGTGGCTTGACAGGTTCAAGTAGTTTCTACACCACCTTAAAAGGTAATATTAAATATTTGAAAGTAGAATAAAGTTAGCTACATAAAATTTGGCGGTTATGCGTCCAATTATAGCCCATATATCCTTAGTTTTTATATAATTTCGGGTAGCGCCCTTACAACCCAAAAACCTTATTTTTATGACGTATTCAGAAAAATTGTAAAATAAGAGACATCGCCATCTTGTGTACAATAATAGTTAATATAATATTATATATATATACATGTATACATGTTTATATATATATATATAAACATTATACATATATATATTTAGACTTTTAATAGCTCGGTTGCAGAAAAATTTTAAAGTAGAATTTTCTTAAATAATTTTTTAGGAAAATTATATATACAACCCAGATATATCCCTGAAGTTTTTGTGCAATGGCTTAACAAGTTTGGAAAGCTACTATACATCTCTAAAGGCTAATTTTAAATATTTGTAAAAGTAATAATGTCAGATAAATGATTCTTGACAGTCACATGCACAATTGTAGGTCAAACATATCACTAAGGTCTTTATAAAATTGCTTAACAGGTTCGAATAGATCGTACACAACCTAGCTGCATGAAATTTTGCAGTCGTGTGCCCAACTTTACCCCAGATATATCGTTAACGTTTCTCTGTAATAAATTGACACTTTTGACTAGTTATCATACAACTTCAAAAACTAATTTTAAATTTTCGGGAAAATAATAAAGCTAGATTCATGGGAATTGCCAATCGTGTGTTCAGTTGTATGTCACACGTTTTCTTGAAATTTTTGTGGTATAACTTAACAGGTTCGGGTAGCTCTCCAACAATCTTAAAAGCTAAGTTCCTAAAAGCTTTTATGGAGTGGCTTGATAGGTTCAAGTAGTTTCTACACAACCTTGAAAGGTAATATTAAATATTTGAAAGTAGAATAAAGACAGCTACATAAAATTTGGCGGTTATGCGTCCAATTATAGCTTATATACCCTTAAAGTTTTTTTACCCTTATATAATTTCTTGTGTACAATAATAATTAATATAATATTATATATATATATATATATATATATATATGTATACATGTTTATATATATATATATAAACATTATACATATATATATTTAGACTTTTAATAGCTCGGTTGCAGAAAAATTTTAAAGTAGAATTTTCATAAATAATTTTTTAGGAAAATTATATATACAACCCAGATATATCAATGAAGTTTTTGGCCAATGGCCTTATAAGGCTGGAAAGCTACTATATATCTCTAAAAGCTTATTTTAAATATTCGTAAAAATAATAATGTCAGATTAATGACACTTCACAGTCACATGCACAATTGTAGGTCAGACGTATCACTAAGGTCTTAATAAAATTGCATGACAGGTTCAGATTGATCGCACACAACCTAGCTGCATGAAATTTTTGCAGTCGTGTGCCAAACTTTATCCCAGTTATATCGTTGATGTTTCTTTGGAATAAATTGACTAGTTGTCATACAATTCCAGAAACTAATTTTAAATTTTCAGGAAAATAATAAAGCTAGATTCATAAAGCTAGACGTATTCTTGAAATTTTTGTAGTATAAGTTAATAGGTTCGGTTAGCTCTGCAACAATCTTAAAAGCTAAGTTCCTTAAAGCTTTTATGGAGTGGCTTGACAGGTTCAAGTAGTTTCTACACCACCTTAAAAGGTAATATTAAATATTTGAAAGTAGAATAAAGAATAGGGTAGCTCTCCAAAAAAAAAGAATAATAAGAAAAATAAGCATAGAAAGAAAAATAAGAATAGGGTAGCTCTCATACAATCTTAAAAGCTAAGTTCCTTAAAGCTTTTATGGAGTGGCTTGACAGGTTCAAGTAGTTTCTACACCACCTTAAAAGGTAATATTAAATATTTGAAAGTAGAATAAAGTTAGCTACATAAAATTTGGCGGTTATGCGTCCAATTATAGCCCATATATCCTTAGTTTTTATATAATTTCGGGTAGCGCCCTTACAACCCAAAAACCTTATTTTTATGACGTATTCAGAAAAATTGTAAAATAAGAGACATCGCCATCTTGTGTACAATAATAGTTAATATAATATTATATATATATATATATATGTATACATGTTTATATATATATATATAAACATTATACATATATATATTTAGACTTTTAATAGCTCGGTTGCAGAAAAATTTTAAAGTAGAATTTTCTTAAATAATTTTTTAGGAAAATTATATATACAACCCAGATATATCCCTGAAGTTTTTGTGCAATGGCTTAACAAGTTTGGAAAGCTACTATACATCTCTAAAGGCTAATTTTAAATATTTGTAAAAGTAATAATGTCAGATAAATGATTCTTGACAGTCACATGCACAATTGTAGGTCAAACATATCACTAAGGTCTTTATAAAATTGCTTAACAGGTTCGAATAGATCGTACACAACCTAGCTGCATGAAATTTTGCAGTCGTGTGCCCAACTTTACCCCAGATATATCGTTAACGTTTCTCTGTAATAAATTGACACTTTTGACTAGTTATCATACAACTTCAAAAACTAATTTTAAATTTTCGGGAAAATAATAAAGCTAGATTCATGGGAATTGCCAATCGTGTGTTCAGTTGTATGTCACACGTTTTCTTGAAATTTTTGTGGTATG